TTTTATTTCAATTTCCTTTCTTTATTTTCTTTTTATACCTTTTAAATCATTCTTTTTCCTTCTCTTCTTTCTTGTAAACAGAGCGGACATCTGATCTTTTGGAATAACAGCACTTGAACTTGCTCACGGCCATGCCCCATTTTCGAAGTATCCGCCAATGAAAGTAAATCTCTTAGTTTTCTAATGCTTATACCTTGATCCCTTTTTTTGCTGCAGGTTTTGTTAATGACTTTGCAAAACAATCCTCCTGGTCTGGACTATGAAAGGGACAAGAGGTTCTCAAAGGTTTTTGCTATTCAATTGTGTCTTACTGACTAGTATCACTTCGTTAGTGTCTGATAGTAACATTCTCATAGTGTTATGTACTTTTCTAGTCTTTCAAAGAGATGGTAGCTACCCGCCTGGCGAAGGATCCAAAGAAACATCCAACTTCAAATAAAACGCACGCTCCTACGGTTATATTAGCTCGTACCATTCTCGATGACCTTGCTCTATTAGAAGAACGTTTTAGGTTGCTTAAGGTCTCTTGCTTACCCCTTTTCTTTAACTTTGTGACCTCTGTGTAAGGTGGGGAATTGATTGGAATTCTTATCTGGTCTTTATGTTCAGACAAAAGAAGCTGATCTTCTTGTACAGAACAAGGGACTCTACGAGGACAGGGAGCAATTATCACAGGTGAGTAATGAGGCAATTTTTTTACAATTTGTCAACAAAAAGATAACCAATAGTTCTGGATTCTTTTCTTTATGCACCTACTAGTATTTGAGGGCTTTATATTCTGCGTGATCCAATCCAATTTCTTTCCGTTCCATATTCATCTCAGGTCTTAAAGAATAAGGGAACTGTTGCACCTTGTTTTACTTCTACTAATGAATGCCTATAATTTATTGAAGGATTAATTTGAATATGAATTCCTTTCACCTTCCAGCAATAGTACATAAGAGGAATCAGTGCCTGGAATTTCAACTTAAAGGACTTGAAAAGTCAGGCTGCACTTGTAAGTAGCTTAACTTCCTCATGTCTTTTTTTTTTCCTTTTCTATTTATCTGGAGGTAGTTCGAGAACTACTCCATGATCTTAATATCATCATGATATACATCTGTTTCACATGCAGATTCAAGACTATGATGATATTCCAAATGCAGAAGATCAAGAGGGGAGCAGGAAGCAAAGGGATGAGCATGATGTAGTCATATTATCAGCAGACAGGATATCCTCAGAAACAGCTTGTAATTCCATTTCTGCCACTAGCCAGGAGGTAACTTAAAAATGGTTTCTGTATGATTAAATTGGCGGTGCTTCAATCCTCGATGCTGTGATTAAGCTTGCACTTTAAGATTAACTCTCCTTTTACTTGTTTCAGGAAGGGATTAGTGATCATGATTTGAAGAGTTCACTTGCTTCATTTCCTGTTAAACCTCTTCAAGCACTCAAGTACGACATTTTTATGCTTGCATGATTTGGTTATTGCAAACAATTCATTTTAATAACTTTTATGTTGAATATCATTTTCACATCCAAAGGGATTTTAGATTGTAATTTTTCAAACCTAAAGTAGTACTACATCACAATCTTAATCGATCAATTCTCAATTGATTTTTTTGGTATTATCTTCTGCATATATTTTAAGAAAAAAATGATATATATTAGTCGAATTACTTTTTGCTTGAAAAAATGGTTGACTAAAATTGATTTCAGTAACTTAGTTTGTCCTTTATTTATGCAAATATTTTATAATTGGTGCAGAGGCTGTTTTGACATTGTTGAAGATGATGGGGTGTAAATAGTCCAAATCATAAAGGTGTTACCCAATTGGAAAGTGAGCCGTTCATTACCAGCTCATCAAGAGCCATGAACCAAGATGCTGGAAGATTTGAGGGAGAGAACTCCCAGCAAAGTAGCTCTTTACCACATCAGGTCTTTCCAGAGCATAAAAAATTCTGGAGCGGTTCACTAATACCGGATAACTTTTCTCCCAAAGAAGTTACGGGAAATGGGGATAGGTAAGCTTTGTTCTAAGTTATCCCTAGGCTCAAAAATTTCACCAAACATGATAAAATGCTTAAAATCTTTGAATTATCACATAGGAAGATCTTTATTTCCATTATAAAGCTCCAGATATGATGAATTTATGAATTCTATGGTTGTATTTTTCTCTTTTCCATTGGTGTTTTATATGTATTTATTTTTTCCTCTAGAGGAACCCTAGATGTATGATGTTGGACACATGGACTTCTTCACTTGGTTCATTGATTCTACTATTCCGTAGTTAAAAAGAAAACTGTTGCATTGTATTTTCCATTTACTTGACCGGGAAGATTTTTATGTCATCTGTATTAAATCTGGTTTATCAAAAATGTTCTGAAGGGATTTCCCACAGCCTAAATTTCAATCTGAACACAGCCACAGTGGTCCATTGTTGTATTGCCAGAGGAGAGAAACAAATAAGACCCCATCTGGTATTTCGCGGTTTTATTTTCTTCCGTTTTACTTAGAAGCAACACCACTTAGTTGCAGTGTAATGAACTTAATTTGATTTCTTTGCCTCTTCTCATGCACCAGAGGATGCATTGGAGGGACCAGTTGTTCGACGGGGACGCTTTAAGGTGACTTCAGCTGATCTCAGTCCTAAGGTACATCTGCAACATTATGAAACTATGCACAGCTTATTGGCCACAATATTCTGCTGTTGTGCAATAACATGCAACTTTGTACAAACAAAATCTTTTCTTGAAATCAGCAGCACAGTTTGGAATAGATTAATATTGTCAGTATCAATCTGTCAATAATGATCTACTGCACTAAAACTTATCAGCAACGATATGTATCTAGATGGTCTCCGATTTGTTAGGCATTATGCAATATGCTGCATTAATACACCTAATGCCATCAACCATTATACTTCAATATCATATATAATGATTTTGCTAAAGGGCAATGTTCTAAATAATTCGCGTGCAGACTTCCGTTTTCTAGTATTGTTCGACTTGTATAATTTGCATTACCTGTGCTTGTTTTGATGAATGAAAGTTATCTAATTTTACATTGTAGTTTTCATTGAAGATGAATATTAAAGATGGAACTTAGCAATCTATCTTTGAGGCAATGGCTCTATAAGCATTCCCATTATTTTTCCATACAGGGATGAACAAGCTGCAGTTTTAACCCTGCTACTGGAGGTTTAACCCATTCAACATCTCTAAACAAGACGACTAGTTTAGTTCTCCCATCTCTACAAAGTATTTTGCAACAGAACACCATTCAAAGAGTATGTTTCTTTTTGTGTGTCTATCTCAATTCGTTCAAATAGAGATTGCTTGTATTAAATATGTTTATTTTGGTCCTGGTTTTTCCTTCAGGAGGAAATCATCAGACTGATCATGTATTTGGAGCAAACATCTGGTAATGCTACTATATTTTGATCGTCTGCATTTTCTGCTCCGCTTAATCATGAAAGATATTATGATGATAAATTTAACTTCTCTTGCTTATACACAGTTAAGCTTATACGCTACTGAACCGTATGTGCTTTTCTTAATGTTAAATGTCCCGTGGTGTAAATTACCTGATTATTGATTAAACTACTTAGTGGGTTCCTGTAATATAAGCTGAAGAGCAAATTTGTCCCTTAACCTTTACTGTAAAGGTGAGCAATTTAACACATTTAATTTTGAAGAAAAAAATTAAACTTTAAACGGCTGTTCATCTCTTATTCGATAGGAAGAGCTTATTTAGGATTTTATTTTTCTGAAAGAGTGATTAAATTATATATTAATTGTATGTGCAGATACCACAACCCTCTGCAAGGGAGAAAGAGCTGCAATCTCAGGTGCTTCAGCTGCAACAGAGGTACAAAGTGAAAGCTAAGACAATGCTGATTTTGTTTCTTCATGCTCATTTTACTGACTGTATTTCTGTTTCAGTATTTTGAACATTTTCGAGGAATTGCAGCAACAGAAATCGAAAAACATTCTGGTTTGTGCATTAACATGCGCTTCTTGTTTCGGTTGCAATAGATTTTCCGTTTTTTCTCTTCCTACTGGAAACGGAGTTCATTTTACTTCCTGTAAATCACCTTGCAGTTAGAGAAACAATTAAATGCATCATCAGACAACAAAGAGTGAAGGCAAGACAATTAAGTTTGGGGTGATGACTTTCTATATATTCAAGCTTCCGGATTATTTGTCTTCAGTGCTAGGATTTGTAAGGTTTCAAAAGGTGTCGGCGCACAGGAGTGGTTTTGTTTTTGACGTAATTGCTAAGGTACATATCTACGGCCATGGCAGAGTTTTAAGCTGGATTTGCAAACTGAGATCCCATTGCTTGAATCTCACGGTACTTGTATTTATTGACAGTATATTGTAATATAATTACAATCTCTTTCTCAGCTGTTCATTTCATTCTCCGTTCTTTGAACAAGATACACAATTGAGCAAATATAATTCTTGTTTGTAACAGTCAAGGTGATTACAAAGATACTACAAAGTAGTATATGTTCAAATTTTCTTAATCTTTTAAGAATGCAAACGGAACTGTTCAAACTCAAAACCTTTAAAAAGAACAAATATATATAAAAATTTTATCGTTGGTTTGTGGTCTCGTAATAATATCTATGTTTCTTGTAAAATAAATATCATCCTTTACCATTAGAACCTTTCCTTGATTACCAATTTTTATTGAATTTAGATAATTATAAATAGTTCTGATTTGACTTCAGTTTACACGCTGAAAATTCTTATTATATTTAAAATATTATTAAATAAAAAATATTTTACTTTAAACCTAGAAAAAACATTTAAAGAACTTTTTTTGAATTAAAAAAAATGAATCTTTAGTTACTCGAGGTTTCTAAAGAAAATTTTAATTTGATCATTGTCGAGTTAAGATCGAATTTGAATAGCTCAACCAATCAAACAAGTCAAATTCAAATATTTTAGTTGGGGTTTAGAAGCATTTTTGCGATGCCTTGATTTGCAAGCAAAATATGTACAGCTGAGCAGTAACTGAGAGAAATTCAGGGTTTATGACCACTCCAATAACAAAATTACATCAGGTTCATTTCCTCTTTTAAGGTATTGAATTGAAATATATATAACGTGATTCGAAACCGACCTGCGCTATATGATACCTGGTTTAGGTTGATCGTGAAGATAGAATACAATCAAACACCCTGACACAAAAAACTGTTAAACACTAGCATAAATGCATTACCAGAGACGGTTCTCAACCACAGCTGAAACAATGCCCTTCAGTGTCTCCTGCATAACATCAGATATCATAGGAATTTCACTACTTTTTCGAACATGATAAGCATTCATAAAACATATGAAGCAAAAGTTAAGCAAAAGTTAATCACAAACACGTGTTATAGGATGGTACCATGCTATGGTCTTTGAGACCGAGAGAAAGAACTAAAGGCATAGATGACCCAGACGAACTGCAAATACGAACCAAGATATAAAACAATGAGTACCTTAGTTCAAACTGCCAGGTACATTTGCAAGTTTATGGTATTAAATTCAACTGGAAAATTAATGGTAGAATTCTAATATAAAGATATCTTCGTTTTACGACATGTGAAAAGTCTATCGAGTTGAAAATAAAAATACCTTATGATTTCGATGAGCTGACGGGCAATCGCCAGTAGCATTGGCTGCAAATCGTGAATTCATTCAAGATTCAGGACAGGTATGAACAACCAAGCTAACATACAACGGGAAAAATCTGGCTTACCTCATCACGTTTGCCAAATATTACAGACACATTGAAAGTTGGCTCGACCGTAACCCCTTCCTCTTTTCTGGCAACCAGCAATACACATATATGTCAGATGCATTTTGGATTACAGTCATCATCATAATAATCTAAACAACTCAAAGAAACACTTGGTAATAAAAATAAATCTTTATCTTTAATTTTGAAAGAAAAGAAAATCGAATAATTGACTCAAAGAAAAATACACCACAAACCTTGCATGCAGTATTGTTCCCATAGTTCCGATTTGGGTAGCCATGACCTGAGAAGTCATTAAGCATGTTACAAGTTATTGCTGAAAGAGGAGGGATCACCATCCCACCCTTGAGATCACACATATACACAAATGCACTAACAAAAACTGAAACTTGATTGTAAAAAAGAAGTGGAAAGACTTGTACTCACAAGAAAATGATCATCGTAACGGCAAATGACTAGATCCGTGTTGTTCCCCTGCCAAGCATAAGGTATGGAATTGAGAATGTCTAATTACATAACATTTCCAAAGCAATCTTTAACCAAATAGAATATTAATGAATTGAGAAACCAAACTCAAACCAACAAAATCCGCTTCCCAATACGAAAACTCATCTTCGAAGATACCCATTAGTAAACCTAAACCCTAATTTATTTTTAGCCACTATATTATTCTCCTCTGAAGAGTTTAACTAAGTAATATATTTCACATTGTAAACCCATTAGTAAATTTTAAAGCTTTTCTAAGATCGTATCTGTACTCGCATATCCCAATTTCTGCAATATTCATGGAAACAGCAAAAGGAATACAATCCAACAAATCAAATTACTGTCAACCGTATGATTCATCTTTGGTTTAAGATTAAAAAAATGCAGTGATAAAAAATCTTAAACTTCCTTTCTAATTCATGCTATTAAGGTAAAAACATCAAAACCCAGGAAAAAGCTAATATGATTCTGAGAAAAAACAAAATTTAAGAGATGAAAATAAGAAAGAACACTTTCCTTTACCTTGATTTCCACTGATAAATTCTTGAAGGGAACGGGAAAACGCTGTTCTAAGCCACCCATTACTTCTTCCCGTTTAGAAACTGTGAATTTGAGAACAACTTTTTTTTCAGTACAAGTGTATCCCCCATTGTCTTCTCTCTGTCTTGCCCTTTTTGTGTGAAAAAAGGAAGGGTAAAGTACAAAGTGTGGTCATCAAACTTTGGGTTTGGTCTATTTTGACCACCTAGCTTTATATATTTTATTTGGTCATTATATCTTGAGAAATTTTATTTTAATTGGTGTACTAACAAAAATTGTCAAGTGTGCCATATATATAAGTTCTGACAACATTAATTTAGGTGAAAAATAAATCTATATTTTTATTATTAGATTAGTTAAAAAATTTAAAATTCGTTGAATCTACTGCAACAAAAATATATATTTATATAACCGATATTAGGTTATCGTGAGAATTTTTTTATAACCAAATACACTTTATCTCACAATATTTTCTTTTCATTTTGACCAATCATTTTTTTATGGATATTGTCTAACTAACATTGATTCATGATTTATATTATCATCCAAAATCTCTAATGTTATATTATATGTAAATATTGATATATATTTATATATCTTTTGATTTAATGAGAAATAGTGATAATGCATGTAATATTGTCTCCAAAGAAAATTTGAAAGTTTTAACTCAATGGTCTTATAATTTATTGAAAATGTTTGATAAATAATTTGTGTATGAGCATAAATTATAGGATGTTCCATGATTATTCCATGGACATGCAAAAATCATTGAAAGCTTGAAACGTAAATTCATCAACATTATCAAGACGAATTATTCTTATAGAAAATTTAAAAAACGTGCTCGTAAGTAATCTAACCAATTAACAAGTGATCTATTGCATTTTGATAACAACGATACATGTGACCATTTAGTATAATATTTTTTATGCTCAAGTATAATATTATTAGTTGCATTGTATACTAAACATAAATTTTAATCATTTATCTCAAATTGTATTTGATAAATATGTCTCGAGTTTAAGTCCTTATTATGTATGCAAAATATCCTTATTAGGAGACCCACCCACTAAAACTAAATGTACGGGTCGGTCTCAATTAATCAGAGCAAAACCCTAACTTTCGAATCATAAAAGTTACTCCTTATTTTAATACATTATTAAATTGATATTTAAAAATAAAATATTTAGATAAAACATGATTAAACAACGATAATTATAGATTTAAAATTACAATTATAATTACAATAATATTTTTAATAAATTTTTAAAAGATGAAAATGTTTTTTAATTTTAATTTTTAATTAATAATAAAATTATAATTATAATTTTATAATGGTTAAGATAATTTACAATCCCACAATAATTAGACAACCATTTTACAAATTAATTTACAATCCCACAAATGGCATTGAAATATATAGTTGACAAAAAATACAAAAATATTTTATTAAAGAAAGAGAAATAAACGCTTATGTTGTAGGTGTCAAAATAATAATAAATTAAAAACGCAACAATATTATTGCATTGAAATACTATTTTTGAGAAGAAAAAAATGAAAAACATTTCCTTCCCCAAACCCCATAAAAACACTGATAATACAATGGGAAGGGCTCATACTGTTGCCATCTCTGCTCAAAGAAAATGCTTTGGAAAAAGCTTTTCTCATACAAGAGGTGTCAGAAATTATAAAGCACTATCCATCTTCGCCCTCTTCCCTTCATTTTTTTTTCTAATTTATGGAGGAAAAAAAAAACACTTAACACGACGAATCACAGAAAGAACGATAGAAAGACACACCAATGTAGCTAAAGATGGCTTTCGAGATTTAGGTGACGTTTGGTTCGCTGGAATGTTTATGAAAGAATTAGAATCTGTGAAAGAATTGAAATCTGAATCTGAAACATGTTTGGTTAGTAGGAAATTGAATTAGAATCCAATTTCATATTCTGTTTGGTCCGCAGACATATCAGATGAATTTAATTTCGGTAATGTAAAATGATAAAATTACCCTTCTTATTATTTTTTTTTGTAGAATTTTAGTTTGTTTTATAATTTATATGTAGCAATGTATTATAAAAATGGGTAAACTACGTCAATGATCACTGATGTTTGGGTAAATTTTCGTTTTCACCACCAATATTTTAAAGGTTACAAATCAATCACCAATGTTATCGTTTGTGACAAATTAATCACTCGTCGTTAACAACCGTTAAAAGAAGACACGAAAAACACACGTGAACCGTTAATTGTTTACCTGGATGGTTTGACCGCCACATGTACCCGCCCCTCCTTTGTCTTGATTTTCACGGCAATGACTTTACACACAAAATCATCATCTATTAAATTACCCAGAATTTGCTGTCTTGGTTACCTTTTATATACCAAATCGGAAAGTTTTGGCCATAACTTGTATTTCCAAATTTCATCACTTGTGCCGGCGTTAAAATCGCGGCGGCACACCTCCACTATGACTAGTTGTTCCGACAACTGGTGGATATCGACGACGAGGAGATAATTACCATTTTACGCTTCCAACCTTATCGCATTCTCTATTTTCTTCTTCACTTTCAGGTTGTATGTTCTACCGACCTCTTCCTCGATTATCTCTATGATTTTCTCCGGTCTCTCCTCCGATATAAACTTCTCTCTCTGCACCGGAGGCTCGACCTCGTCGAACAAACCAGAGAGGTCGAAATCCAACGAGAATGAGATTATGTCGAAGGCGTTTAAGAATTTCTTGCTCTGGGTTTCTTCTTTGAATTTGAAATCATCGTCATGAGATTTGATTTCTTTGTAACCTTTCTTGAACCAAGGGTCGTTGATGATTTCATCAACGGTGATCCTCGTATCTGGATTCGGATCGAGAAGCCGGCATATGAATCGCTGGAGTTCGGGATACGTTCATTTCGGGAATCGGAATTCGCCTTTATAGATCCGGTGGTACATCATCACCATCAGATTGGGATCGTTGAACGGTAAATAACCGGCGTGCATGACATACAAAATGATGCCACATGACCACACGTCGACTTTGGCGCCGTTGTACCCATCAGATTGAGGTTGTCCGTCATTAAGGGATTTCACTTCATCATGACCACATTAGATTCCACATCAAATTGCTCTGAGACCTCTAAACTTTTCATCGTCGGAACTGCTGCTGTAAGCTTTGGTTTCTCCTCATTTAACCCAAAATATGTAGACAACGACTGATAAGGAGCAGTGGATGCAAGAAGAAAATTGTTCCCAAATTACTTTCTTCAGAGAGGCGTAAATAGATGACAAACCAGAGAAAATGGCTGGATTATATGGCTCCAAAGATAAAGCAGAACTATAGTCTAATATTGACTTCACGATTTGATCATCATTTACATGGTAACCTTCTTCATGGTATCCATTAGAGATGGGAATGTCAACTTCATTTGAACCAATTTCAGCTGTAAAGTCATCAAGACAAGGAACACTTATATTACTAATATTTAAGGTATGAGATTTCTGATCTGTTGGCAACACGTCTGCTATTCCACATAAAGGAATTGTAGAGAACATTGCCTTCTGATCCATAAGGAAGGAAGTTTCAAGGATTAAATGATGCGCCATGACAACAGTATACTGAACAACACACTTAATCTTTTTCAGTTCTTCAGAATGACTTCCTCTCAGCAAAATCTACAACATCGTGATATCAAGTTAACTAGGAAGTACACGGACGGGAACATGCCATAGATATACCAGAAAAGAAACAAATGAAGAAGAAGCTTGTTATCTGGCAGATAGCATCACGTCAAATATCACGTCAAATCTCCGGCGCCACGTAAGCCGGTGTCCCACATAAAGTATGGAGGAGGCCGTCGGGTCGTATATGTTCCTTCACCGCACTGAGTCTGAAATCTGTTATTTTCAGATTGTAGTTATCGTCGAGGAGGAGATTCTCCGGTTTCAAATCGCGGTGGAACACTCCCCTCGAGTGACAATATCTTACGGTAGAAATCAGCTGCTGGAAATACCGACGGCTGAGATCTTCACTGAAACGCCCTTTCGCTATCCACGTGAACAGCTCGCCATGATAGCAATCTCCCTCTTAAACTGCTACACGAACCCGCCTTTCAGAACCTTCTGCCTGCTCACGGCCTTGATCGCCACGTTCTGCCCCGTCCTCACGTCCCGAGCGTGGTAGACCTTCGCAAACGCCCCGCATCCCAGCAACTTCCCGATCTCGTATTTCCCAGAAAGGGTGTTCGTCGATGAGATATTCGACGACTCACCAGTCGTGTTGTAACTTCGATTGTCTTCAACCTCGGGCATTGTGGATCAAACACAAAGAATCAAACTTCGTATTTAAACTTTAACGAAATGCCATCAAAGAGATGATTATGGGATCGTCCTTATCGTTTAAGAAAGAGGAAATGAAGTTTGAGCTGGAAATCAGTTCAGTCCACGTGTGGCAGTCAAACCATCCAGGTAAACAGTTAACGACGTGTGTTTTTCGTGACGTCTCTTAATGGCTGTTAACAGCGAGTGATCAATTTGTCACAAACGATAACGTTAGTGACCGATTTGTAACTTTTAAAACATTAGTGGTGAAAACGAAAACTTACCCAAACATCAGTGACTATTGGAGTAGTTTATCCTAAAAATAAAGAATAAACTACATGATTGATCACTTATGTTTGTGTTGCGTTCACTTTTTTTACTAATTTCAAAAAACATAATATATGGTCACTTTTGTTTTTATTTAGTCATCACGAGTTAACTAAAGTTAAATAGTTTAGTATAACCACACATTTTGTCTGTTATTTACATATTCTCTCAATTTAGTCATATTTTTAATAAATTAAAATATATTTAATCCTCCAATCAGATGATACCACGTGTCACTTGTATCACATGTCACCATTCGATTGGAGGACTAACTTTATTTTAATTTAGTATATTTTATTCTTATCTTACTTCAAAATATTTTATTCTTATCTTACTTCAAAATATTTTAACATAAAATAATATTAAAAGTAGGACTAAATTAAAATAAAGTTAGTCCTCCAATCGAATAGTGACATTTGGCACTAGCGACACGTGACATCTTTCGATTAGAGGATTGGATTTATTTTAATTTATTGGGTAAATTACACGCTTACTAACTGAACTTTACTCTATCTCCAATTTCACTCATCGTAATTTCAATTTTTTCAATTTGTTCATTGAACTTTATACATTTAACTTTTTTTATTACTTGATCGTTAATTTTATAACACCGTTATGACATAGTTTATTTTAATATTAAAATCAGCCATGTAGATAAATATTAATATTTAAAAATTATTTTTTAAAGTCAAAATTCTTAACTTTAAAAGTTGACTGTGAAAAGGAATGGGAGAGAGATAGAGAGAGAAACAATTTTTTTCATCACCTCTTTCAAAATCCATCTCTGAAAACAATTATTTTTAGGGTAAACTATGTCAATGGTGACTGATGTTTGGGTAAGTTTTCGTTTTCACCACTAATGTTTCAAAAGTTACAAATAGGTCACTAACGTTATCGTTTGTGACAAAGTAGTCACTAGCCGTTAACAACCATTAAGAGGCGTGATGAAAAATACAGCTGGACCGTTATCTGCTGAGTTGGATCATTGACCGCCGTTTTAACTGGATCTTCTTCTTCTTCAACCTATTCCTCATCTTCTTTTTCTTCACTTTTCTTCTTCTTTCTTGCTTCATTATCATCATCACTATTTCTCTACTTATTGGAGCTCTTTTCACCTATTTAATCAAGTACAAAGAAATACCAAATTATAAGGCCAGTCTTTTCCCAGATGTATTACTATAGACCTAAAATTTTTAGACAATTTTCCATCTTGTCTTCTTCTCTGTAAAGAAGCTTAAAACCCAAGACTTTTTTAAATATTATATTGGGAGTTGAATTTTTTCCCTTTTTTAAAACTATATTTCTTCTCCATTTTTCTGTCTCCATTTCCCCTACAACTAGTTTTTTTATATTCCCGTTGAATTTGTTCATTTAGTTAAACCTCTAAACCATCAACTTTTCCCTCAAAATATTCATAACTTAATCTTCCAAATCTTTTTCTTGTTAACTGTTAATGATACTCTCCACAACGATTACAAGTCTAAAAATGGAGAAGCGATTACAAGTCTAAAAATGTGAATGAATGCAGAAGCCAGAAAAGAGCCAAACGTGATGGAAAACCAGTGCTCATGTTTTCCGATCTAATGGTCCCTTTCACTCTCCGTAAAAAACCATTGATTCTAGACATGCACATGTCCTAAAGTATTCCCACTCAAAATCCTAAAATAATCAATACCGCTCTTCTAAACCGACAGCTATACCGCGAATTATTATGCACCAGAAAACCTAAACCTGGTTTTCACTTTATCCTGCTTTACAACCCCACCAATGATCATGACTTTTCCAATAATGGCTGTCACTCGAAAACCAGACCATTGTTAATCAAAACCCACTTTCTATTTACAAAGCCTTTATTAAGACCTCCAAAACCTTAAAAACCCACTAATCAATTCACTTTCAATAGTTTCTGATCATCTCTCTCATTTTTGTATAGTTCTTAACTCTAAAATTTTACTGCATGGAAGCCGGTAATAAAATCGGTTCGACAGCTCATCCCAGTTCCTTACACCCCTGGTCCGCGGAGATGCCTCGAAACCCCAGGTGACAAAGAATTATTCTGCATGCTTGTCATGTTGTTAGGTTGCATTGCTGGCACAGAACCTTGTAAATTTATCGACTGTAACTGAGGGTTCTTTTGATTATCAAGAGATCGTGTCTGATTAATTTATGTTTGTGCTTGTCTTTTAACTGAGGGTTCTTTTGATTAATTTATCGACTGTCATTGCAGAATCATAGAGGCAGACTTCCTTGGCCTATTGGAATTCAATAAATTTATTATTTGTTTCTCATATGAACTCAACTTCTCCTTGAAAGGGGGTGTTATATTCGCTTTGGGAATAGATAAGAAAGCTAAAATGCGCTCCAACATGGTCTTGAATAGTTTCAACTTGTCAAGCTGCTCAGACTTTGGTTGCTGTGGATTAGAATCATGATGGAAAATAGAACACATAATTGTCTTAAGTAACCCAAGTAAAATTGCAAACCACTATTCCACCAGATAAGCATAAGTGAGACCACTGAACACCATCTAAAGGAATAGGATTCAAGAAGCAACACAAAAAGTGGGGTGGGATCAAAAGCTTTAACATAAATTAGTGACTTGCTCTCTAAATTTTGTTAATAGATACAACAACAAAGTATGATACAGAAGGGTTTTATCACTCTTGAGATGTTAAAGAATGTGGAAGGGTTTTATCACTCTTGGTAGCAACGTGTGTGATAAGAAAAAAAAGAATAAAAGTGAAGAGAAAGAAAGAAGAAGAAAAGTGAAGAAAAAGAATATGGGGAATGGGTTGTAGAAGAAGAAGAGCCAGTCAAAATGGCGGTCAACGATCCAACTCAGCAGATAACAGTCCAGCTGTATTTTTCGTCACGCCTCTTAACGACTGTTAACGGCCAGTGACCATTTTGTCACAAACGATAACGTCAGTGACCGATTTGTAACTTTTGAAACATTAGTGGTGAAAACGAAAACTTACCCAAACATCAGTGACCATTGGCGTAGTTTACCCTATAAAAATTTAAAAAATATTAAATTTTCATTTTATTGATTGATTATTCATTTCAATAAATTATAAAAATCATACTAATAAACATCATAAGTTAAAATCATCCCAATTAGGGATAGCCTTGGGTCAAGTTGGGTCGGGTTTTTGGTCCACCCGACCCGACCCGAGAACAATGGAGCCTCTACCCGAGACCCGACCCGACTCGACCAAAATAAAGTTTCACTCGACCAAAATAATATTTCACCCGACCCGACCCGAATATATGAATTAGAAACCCGACCCGAAATAATAAAAAATATTTTTATTCAATAAGACTTAATTGGAATATATATATATATATATATATATGAGTATTATTGTAATTATTTCTAAATATTTATATATCAAACTTTAAAAAACCCGACCCAACTTGAACCTGATTTTTTTTTTAAAATAATCCGACCCGCATATTAAAAGATTGATGAGGGTAGTATGATCAAATTTCACATTCCCTCCTCCAAAGGATTTCAATTCCATCATGTTATGGATGAAATTTACTTTCCCTCCCTTGATGGAATTGGATTCCAATTCCCCCTTTGAAAACTTGAACCAAACATGGGAAAGTGGTGGAATTGGATTCCAATTCCCCTTAATTCCTAGGGATTCCAACGAACTAAACGTCACCTTAAGGTTTTCGGGTTTCGCCTTTGAGAATGTTGGATTTTTATAGCTTTCTGTTGACATTATTTTCAGGGAAAAGCTTAATAGGGCCAAAATATTTTAAAATTTTGGGTCTCAAAAAAAGTTTTTTTTTTTAAATAAAGAGTAAACTATGCGAATAATCTTATGATTTTGATTTGACCGTAATGTTATCGATTCGTTCAATTTTAGTCTCTCAGTTATTAACTTTATTCAATTTTAGTCTTTCAGCCGTTAACTCTTGTTCAGTTTTAGTCTTTCAACCATGTTAGATACTTAAACAAAAGGGGTTAACGAAAATTAATAGCAGATTAACTTAAACCGAACAGACTGATAATATGAGATACCAGTTGCCTTTAATTGTTAAATTGATAACCATAGTCCCCTAAACAAAAGGGATTGTTCACGTAGTTTACCCTTATATAAATAAAGATTAGTATACGACTGGTCAGACTCGAAGTTCTCACACAAAAATAGATAATACAACTCGTACTCGAGTTATATAACATGAGTACATGCATTGGCAGAGCCAGCATAGAACAAGGGTGTCATTTTTTTGAAATTTTTTATATATAAATTTAACATAAAAATAATTTTTAAAATAAAATAAACATATTTTAAAATAATATTAGCATCATCAAATATAAATTTACACCCATTAATAATTTTTATCCACTTAAAAAAATTCTTCGCATAATTTCTAAATTTTTCACCCAAAGTAATTTTTCTATGTACCTGAGTACATGACACCATTTCTCAATGAGACTATTCTTTAAGGTTTTTTTTAATAAAAAATATCAAAACTAAAGAATTTGAATTTATAAATAAAATTTGTCTAAAGCAAAAAAATATTAACAATTAAAAAAAATTGACTTTTAAATTTAAGAATTTTTTTCTTTTATAAATTTTAAATCTAATCATAATTCTATCTATCTAGACGTGAGGGGAAGGAGACTTTAGGAAAATGAAAGAAAGTAATCTTAATAAATCTAAAACTCGTGATTTAAAGAAATACGAGATGACAAAAATAAACAGTTTGACCAATCAACCAAAAAAAACTATTTTAATTTCAGAAATGACTATGTTTTACTCATTTGTTAAATATTTTTTCTTTCGTATACGTGACGATTTGCTAACCTTGATTGAAGAATAAAAAGTTTTGTATCAAAGAATTATTTTAAAATAATACTAACAACTGCATATTCATATAACCACAAATAACAAACTTTAACATCGATATAATACTGACAGCAGTTATGGGCAATTAGTAATAGAAAACAGGATGATAATATAGAAACCAATTGATCAGTGTTTTATTTAATAAAAATGCTAATGAAAATTTATAAAGTTTAATCCTACATAAGATAATAAAAGGAAGTGGTGATAATTTATATACTATTTTTTTCTTTCTTTGTTAAGCATTAGTGGATATGTTCCTTGTAAGCGTGCACCACCGGTCGGTTCATGGTTCAAGAAAATTACATGTCTTCGAGCGTACAATGATTTTAGAGAAAATTCGGACGAATTTCTAAAATGTTTGATTTGACTGTCGTGTGGATTAATTATCGTTAATTAGTTGATTGAGAGAATCTATTAATCATAATGAATGAGATTTTGAAGAGTCATGTTATCCATTGCAAGTCTATGAATGGATGCGAGTTTCCTAAGTTAGCGTAGACAGAGGTTGGTTGTAGTTAGACACAGAATTCAAAGGGTATTTAGGTTTAGATAAATAGACATGGTAAATCGAAGAACAAAATCTGAAACTATTTTCATTTAGCAAGTTGGTCCGTAAAGGAAAAGTTCACTTGAGCATTTCAACATACAGAATAGAGACACACCTTGAAAATGTTTGTTGTCTAAGCAATGGAAACTTTAGCTCCTGCTTCTTCCAGCTGTTTCTTGGCATCATCAGCCTCCTCTTTCGAAACTCCTTCTTTGAACTTCTTGGGCAACCCTTCAATCAACTCTTTCGCCTCTTTCAATGCCAAACTCGTCAGACCCCTAACCGCTTTAATCACCGCAATCCTCGCATTGCTAGGAACCTCCTCGATAACCACATCGAACTCCGTCTTCTCCTCCACCACGACTGCTCCGGAACCTCCTGCTTCGGGGGCGGCGACGGCTACTGCAGCAGGGGCGAATGCAGCGGCGGAGACACCGAGTTTCTCCTGGAGGTAGTCGACAAGGGTCCGAGCTTCTTCGAGGGTCAGATTGGAGATATCGGTGCCGAGTTTTTCGATTTTTTCAGGAGCTGCGGTTGCGTTGAGAGGACGGAGGAAGGTGGTGCGGTGGATAAGGTTAGAAGTGGTGGTGGAACGGAGAGGGAATTGGAGAGAAGGGGTTTTGACAAGGAGAGAGGGAGTACTAGTGGTAGAAGGATAAGAAGGGGAACGGAGAGAAAGGGTTGAGACAGTGGAGGAAGCCATTTTTATCTTCTTTTCTTCCTCTGTTTGGATTGAAAGAAAATGGGAGAGGATTCGGATAAGGTTGAAAGGAAACGGAAGGAAAAAGGAGTATACAGTGAATATATAGTGAAACAACTATTGTGGTAAAAAAGGATAAGAGGCAAAAATAAAGGGGCGTTCCGAGAATCGAACTCGGGACCTCTCGCACCCAAAGCGAGAATCATACCACTAGACCAAACGCCCGATTTGTTCCTAGACTTTTTTTATGTACTAGATATTTTTATTATAAAACACAACTTCTTCTGCCTTCTTTTAATTGTTTGAAGTAATTTATTTATTAAACAGTAATTATATACATTGCAATATATTCATCATTTATATGTTAAGATCTTGAAAGTGAGGGATTGTATAGAATGAAAAATTCTTGGTGTAATTTTTACTGAATTCAAAATATTTACACAAGTAACCATGAAAGCATGTGATTGATTTCCTCCTTTCACAAGGAGGTTCTTCCTTTTGCTCCTTTGGTGATTCAATGCATATAAAACATGTGATCAAATAATACCTTATCACACTACAAAATTCCATTTATTTCAATGGTTACTCTCTAGAAACTAAAAGTCATGCAGTAATAAGCAACAAATTCCATTTCCAAAACGGCCGGAGTATTTGTTTAAGCAGAGGTTAAACACAGCACAAATCACATCGAATAAACATTCCATCACTACGAAAGTTCCAAGATCGAAGATGAAGATATCCTCTCTGAGTCGCGAGAAATTCCGACAAATCAGACTAACAATCAAACATCAATCCTCTCTCATGTCTGCAAAAGGAAGCAAAATATTGCGTTTTATATATGACATAAGAGTTTATTTATTTATTTATTCTACTCGGATATTGTGGTTCATGCACTTGCCTTGCTAGCGAAGTTGTTGGAAAGCCAATCGAGTCCCTCATAGAGGCCCTCTCCAGAAGTTGCACATGTACTCTGGATATACCTGCATTGAACGCCAACCAACATCAGAAAGTTGTACAAATAGTATGAGTGTAATACATTCGGGGTTTCGTGGGGAGTAAGGTGAATATTACCAGTGGTGCTGGCGGAGAGAATGGAGACCAAGCTTATCGGTTATTTCAGCAGCATTCATTGCGTTGGGAAGATCTTGTTTGTTGGCAAATACAAGCAAAACAGCATCTCTCAATTCATCCTGAACGGGAAAAACAAAAGTTAGCATTGGCTTATATATCCCTTTGTCTGAGTAAGAGACGGAATAAAATGGTTCATTGGATTTTCCTCATTTCACCATGAAACATACCTCATTCAACATCCTGTGAAGTTCATCCCTTGCCTCAGCAACACGAAAATAAGACCCTGAGTGTTCTGGAAATAGTGTCTCCACAAGGGACGGATCTGTGTTTGAAAGAAAGAAAGTTGATGACTATATAGGTTTTCAAATTAAAATAGCAGAATGAATCACAAGGTAGGATTGTATATCCATATCCATATCCATATCCATATGCATTCTGCATTTTTTTTTTAAAACAATGCTTCATGATTTATCATCTTAATGTCACAATAATTACCTATGTTCCAGGACATATGGTGATATGGGATGAATCCAAGTAATACACAATATATTTTAACATAAGAACCTCATAGGACCACGTTCCATTAGATTTTTAAGATGCATACCTTGTCTTGACCACCAACATGCCAAACAGTGAAGCTGATAATCTTGTATTCCGCTGTCTCGACATTGAATCCTTCAAAAGAAAAAGTACGAATAGACCTTTTAACATTATATACTTTGGTAATTGACCAAAAGCCATCTCGATATAAAATTCATACACAATATTAAGAGGATCAATCATCTCTTGGATTGGCAGTACCTAAGGAGATGCAACATTTCGAACTATTGTTTTGCGAGTCAAAAACCTTATAGAATAGATAACAACTGACCACTCAACCAATCGAAGAATTATATTTAATAAATTATCCACCCCCAAAATTATACGAAATTGGGTTCATCGAGAACCATTTCCCCTCCAAATAAAGATAAAATTACATGGTTCACAAACAGGCCTACAATAACATAAAGACCAAGGCCACAATCAGTTATCAATAAGATGGCAAGATTCACAAAACAGTAGAATCAAACTCATTTGGTTCACAAACCAACCGACAATAACATAAAGATCAACAGCAAGAACATGGTCAGTTTTAAATAATATAATAACATAGCAGTTGAACCAGATTTAATTACAAGCAAAAGGAAATATTTTCAATCATTTCTTTCGATCCATAGTGTCACACCCCCGATTTTCAAATTAAAATTTATTAAATAAATTAATTGCTTTTAGGGATTAAATTGTGAGTTTCTGAAACTTTCAGGCTAATTTCAAAAGTTTGGGAAGTTTAGGGAATTAGCCCTGAATTTACCCAATTTACTGGTCAGTGGAAAAAAATGGAAATGGTATTGGTTAGGTTTGAACTCGAGACCTAAGGTATGTTAGACAATTTCCCTACCATCTAGGTCACTAATTGATTTTAATAATAATAAATATATGTTTTATTATATTTGGGTTGGGTGATAACCCGTTTTATTCCAAACTCCTCGGTCGAGGAACAAAACCCCCAAAATCAACCCACCCTAAGCTATTCCCGTCGCCCCTCCTGCCAGCTACCTCCGAACAGTGGTTGAGTACACCGTCGTTACCAGTCGATCCAACGTCCTCCGATAACCCGTCTTCATTCGATAACGCCCCGAATCGGCCATCGTTTGAGCCAAAATCAAGAGCGAAGTCGTTAGAACCCCTCCCTCGCTGCTCATTCGTCTCCAGTCGTCGGTGAGAGACACCGACCACCCCAATCGACACATCTCACCAGCCCGACCAAAACCCCTAAGGTTGATCGGTGCTACCTGTCGCCGTTCGTCGTAGAGAGCTTGCCAAAGCCCATTGAATCCCTAGCCTCATCGATCAGTTTTTGTGAAATTCGGTCGCTTCACTCATCGTCGTGCTTCACCGTTACCACAGCCGAAATCCTCATCACCATATGTTCAAAACCCAACCGGTGGGTCGAGTCATTGTCGTCGTTCTCACCGTCCACCATGGGTAAGCTTCCAAACACTTTTATTTGATTATTTATGGTGGTTCTTGGCTATTTTTTTTATTGAATGTGGTTTGGTTTTGGTGTTTGGTTACTTTCAGTTTAATCGGTAGTTGCCCTTGTCCCCGCCGCATGCGCCTTTAGTGTGCAAGGGCTTCGTTTCAGCCGAGGTAACCGAGCATTCTAGAAACTGAGACAACTCGATGAGTCAACTCATCCAAGTCAACTCGTCTGAGTCAACCCATTGACTTTAATCGTTAACTTTGACCAAAAAGTAAAATTTTCTGACAAGTCATATTTTATGTTTTTTGACATTCTGAGTCTGAATCTGAAGTCTGTTTCCCCAAATTCAAACCCAGTAAGCTATTTTCAGTATTTTACATTCTGATTCAATATATTTTTCGCAATTAAGACCCGTTTTTTTTATGTAATTTCTGTTTATATGTATCTGAATATTATTGGAAGTTGGATTCAAGTTTGATAGTGATTGAATGGAGTTTAAATGTTTGATCGTGGAGCACAAAAATCGAGGTAATACATTACTACCTTATGCATACTTAATAGAACATGTTGGTATTGGTAAATACATGGTTTAATATATATATTTACTTGTGTGTAGTTAAAATTTCTAAAATCGATCCGAATATGAAATAAAATAAAATAAATTGAATAAGGCTCATACTACATGCATAGACACAAAAAGACTGATAAGAAATGATTTCAAGTTCGATGATTATCCGGAAAAGAAAATAACCTCAAAATCTCTAAATTCTATTTATCATTGTTAAAAATTTAATACCGAAATTATCTGGTTATGAAATTACAAAATTACCCCTATGAGGTAAAAATGGCCTCGACTGACCTTGATAATGAAAGTACCCTGAGAATTCATAATTAATTTGATAAACTACTGATTTACCTGTGAAATTCCTGACCTGCTCGAATATTCATTGATAATCAGATCCTAACATTCGAGAAGGTACAAGACCTATAATTATTGATTTATCAGTAAGCACCTAAAGACTAAAACATCGGAAGTAATATTCATGTTTAAATTATTCAAAAAAATTGAATTAAATGAAAAGACTAGACGAAAGGAAAGAATTGAAATACCCTTTAACTTTAAAATACCCCTGGAGTGTAAATGACCTAAGATACCCTCAAGTTATGGAATGACTGAATACATGTTTGTCTCCTCTAGGTTCGTTCGATGATAATTCTGAAAGTGTTCAGCTCAACTTAACTTTATGGCACAATTAATACTAAGAAGTGAATATTCGTGAGACTACTTTACCCGCAAACTCGGTAAGTATCATATTGTTGGGATCTGATCAGTTCGAATGGATTTAGAAGTTGGATAAGACACTTGAAATCTGAAATACTGTAAATCACTGCTTGACTTTATTAAACTGAATTACCAAAATTTATCTTGAATTTAAATGACTATATGCCCTTACTTGTATGATTTACGAAATCACTACAGAAATATCCGAATCTTAAATAATTCTGATGTAGCAGTTTCTGACACATCCTAGGGTTATATCCGAATATTATACATACTAATGTATCATTTTCCTAATGATTGATCAGTATGTTAGTAATCCAACTTTTTAAAAAAGGATCTTATTCCTCAAGTTTGATCAGTTGAAGAAGTTTCATGTTTATCTCGCTGGATAATTACCAAGTACCTTCGGAAAATAACTTGATCATTTAGTGTGTTCCCTATGTGTTATATGATTGTTTTATCTATTTTGAAATGTGTTTTACCGAGATTTTTGAGTTACTGAAGATTTAAGCATGTCTGTCTGATTCATGATCTCTAGATAATTTTTCTACTGAATTGATATGTCTGAACCTTGATTTCTCTGCTACCGTAATATATTGTCTGAAAACTAATTTCTTCGGGGCACTCTGGGATCTGGTATGAAGTCTCTGTAGGTTCAACTCTGATTAAGCTGGTAATTCCTTATACAGGTTTAGCACCGATCGGTTGGTAATTCATCATATA